GTTGCCAATTTACCTTAATTAAGAACGGTAAGGTTAGCAGAGATGGGAAGACCTTACATGATAATCTCTGTACGCGTTGTCTTCTGATGATAATTTTTTTATGAATTTTGTCGATAGTCTAATTGCATCACCACGTTGCGCTGTATAATTTCCTTTCAGGACTGTAATTAAGGTCTTTTAATAAAACTAACAATTTTCAATTCAAATCTGTTATTAACCTGAGAGTCATATTTAGGTTTCTGTCTGTAAGACAAATCATTTGAACACTTTTGGTTTAATTTTTTCCGTGTATAAAAATTCTTATTCTTGCAACCAATTAATATTTGACAGTAAAGGTCAAAATGCAGACTAGCCATCACCATTTCAAAAAATAATATATTTAGTTCTTATTTAATTGTGTGAACATTTACCATGTCCGCGGAACACTTCGATCATCGGACTGGGTAACTGTGTAAGGGAACTGTAAGGGCATGAATATAATATTTTTCAGTTTCTTGTAGTTCCAATGGATATTCTTATATTTTAGTAAATACTGCCCCTTTCTGCTTAATGGTTACTTATTTTTATTGTTATTTTATCATTGTTCACTACTCACTTCTCTTCGTTTCTTAAAGAACTGTCTATACCATGTTCAGTTCCTCGAAATTTTACCTAAATACGTAATGAACACTAGGCTAAATCATGTAGTAGGCTTGTAACTTTGAGGCTAAATCCTCGGACACAACTAACTCCACGAAGCAGAGTTCTTCTTGAGAAGCTGATACTGCTCAGCCAATCAGAAAAGTCCATGATCTTTTATGAAACCGGAAGGTTGAATATCGTGTTCACAGAGTTTCGTCAATGGTCGATATCCTGAGCCAGACGAATCTATTCTTTAAGAAATGTTTTAAAGTAAGCTTATTTTCCCATCTGCGTCAAGATCTTCCAAGTTAACTATTCCCTTCAATTATTCCTCTTTGGTCTGGTCGCCCATTAGGGCTATTATAACAAATTTTACGCTCCTCATTATCCATTTTCACCCATCTCTCTGTTACTACGTATGCTTTGTGTTAAAATATTCTCATTAACACCTTGTTTTCAAACATCCTCAGTCTAAGTTCGTGTCTTAAGATGTAAGACCAATTCAGAGGTATCTCGAACGCAGTTTGAGTTAAATATTCTTTGCGTAGGTCTGAAGAGTTTTAAACTTCAGGAGAAGAAATAAACATTCCATGGCTCCTACACCTTCGGCCAGTGTTCCATGCGAGGAAGAAGGGGATATATCTGAGCAGGCAGAGACTGGCGACGTCACTACGCGACAAGCAAGAATATTGGATGTCGTGACACATTTGAGTGCACGTGCCGCCAGAAATGCTTCACTCCAATATTATAACATGAAGGAGGGAGTTAACGTAACGGAAGACGCACAGGGACGTATTCCTCGAGCCTTTTACGACGAGGGAATAATTTCTGCAGACAACTATCTATATCCAAATGGGATTTGGGCTTCCGGTAACATGACCAACTTCTCGTCGGCAGGAGAAACCGATCACGGCGATCAAATATCTCCATCTATGTCGCGTTTGCACGAGTTCCAGATCATCAAAGCTGTCGTATTAGCTGCCGTTACAGTGGTTATTCTTATCTCAATATGCAAGATGGTGTTTCAGTTATTTGTGCGGTATACAGTGAAACACGACAAATAAAGTGTGTTTAATGCGGTGTCAGCTTAGGGCAATGTGTTTGGCGCCTCTTCTGAGGGCAGTCTACCAATATGTATTCAGGCTCATTTGTTTTGGTAATGAAACTTGTTTAAGGAACATGGCTGTATATGGAGGTAGTTTACGTTTCAGGGTAATAGGGCCTAACTGTCGATACTCTTCACGCGTTGTGTTAGCATAAACAACGCCTTTTGGGAACACTGTTTATCTCGCGATTTTCAATTTCTGAACGATGGTTTAATTCTCTGACTACGTGTCGATAAATTGATAACCTGGCTGTTGCAAAATTAAAACTGCAACTTTATCTGTTTATTTTCATAAAATTTTACGATTTTTAGTGAAATTTTTAGTTCGTTACATTTTCGACAAATCTAAGAGCAGTTATAAAAAAGATGTCACTAAGATGGAGCTTCTCTTTGAGAAGCTGTATAAAATTGTAACTGAACGTAAATAAAACCATGTTGACTCCAGGTTTCCACCCTCCGACTCTCTAATTTTCCTAGCGTAATTACAATAAGCTGTAATTTCCGAGCTATTCGGACTGGTTGCAATGAACATCAGATTGTCATTTACGGACTTGAAATCGTAAATGTTCTGGAATTTAGTTTTTGATGATAATGTACATTTTAATGTTTATTTAAATTGCTGTTGTTAATGTTTATGTACTTATCTATAATTAAAGATTTCTGTCTTCTGGGTTGTTGCGCTGTGTAGTCTGGTCGATGTTTACCAACGTTTCAGAGGTCATACTACCTCCGTCATCAGGGCGTTGGTAAACATCTACCAGACTACACGGCGCAACAACCCTGAAGACAGAAATCTTCATACTCACCGCTGTGAAAACCTCAAATCATACATTATCTATAATTCTTTGCATTACATTAAAGTTTCTTTGATTATATTCCCCTAGTATTTATTATCTGCGGCCCACTGGAAACGTTTGTGTGTGATTAATGTCAAGCTCGTTAAAGCTTCATAAGATTACAAACATTACAAGGATATTTGTCTCATGAAAGACTGACTTTGAATTCGAATTGTTTTCCAATCTGTGTTATCTTTTTTGTCTTCATAATGGCTTAGGCCAACTTTACACAAGTAGCAGAGGTTTGATGGTATCATTATATAGTTTTGGATAGTATCTCTTCAAGTAACACTCCAGGTGTAGTGAAATTCTTTTAACTTTGTCTTCAGTGTTTCATAACATGGCAGTTCATCGAACTCTTTTGTTATTCAGCGTTGGAAAGCAAATTCTATCTCCGCGTTGAATATCATTATGTAGACATCTCTTACGCAGACATTTGCTTAATAGATCAACATTTCTTTGGTTTGCTGCAGACGTTCTGTTATAATTGGCTGTATGCCTGCAACTACTTAGTGGCCTAACACGTTCGTCTTCCTCCCACACGAAGTATTTTTTGCAGTCAACATCGTTAAGTTTCATTGTTCAATTCCATACGCAACCAGATATATTTATTTTCTGAAAGAGATGTATTTTTAAAGCACGGTGGAAGGAAAAACTGTGTGTGAATCCTCGATATTGCATGAAATGCGTTAAGTCGATAAGATGACTTAGATGTATGTGACTGATAAGTTGGCAAGATGTCACACTGGGTCTTTATGACATTTGTCAAAATCATGTGTGTATTTCCGCAAGATTGCAAGTCACTTGGTGCTGGGTCGCGGAAGAGTTTTGTCAAGTCAAGAGACACCCCATCTCCTTGAGGAGGATAAGTGTTACGTACTTACAAAACTTCAGATTAATGTGCACTGAAATCATAGCCTTTTGAAAGGTTAATTATTATCACTGCCCAACATTCTAGTCTAGCGTTCTGATTCTCTTTAATGTACTTAACTGTGCAGTGAATCTCTACTGAACATAACCTCAATTTTCTACCAGTCATCGAAGCATAGCAATGCATGGGCATTTCCAGTCTTTCCCTGAAAAAGTTTTTCGTGCAAATTATACCTGTGTTGTTATAATCTTTGCTATACTACTGCTAAAAAGATGCCTTGTGGACACCATTTTGAAAAAAAAAATAACGTAAACAAGAAACACTATTTCTTTAGATACATCAGTTGACTCTTACAGTTCTATAGCATAAAATCTGGATTCTGTGAGTCGGTCTATCAGTTGCTTATCCTCAGACATGTCATCTTTGTCATCCAATGTTTAATATTTTGTTGATGAACTTCACAATATTTCAACGCTGCATCAGGCAACATTTTTCTATAAGTGTGACTTTTGTTGCATTTTAATGCTGAAAGCTACTCTTATTTGCAGTGGGATCTAATGTATTTGCAAATTTCTTATAAAGAACATCACGAAGCCAAGAGAAACATTCTTCAGGTTCATTTTGTTGATCTGAATGACACAACTTTTAATTTTGACGGCCGCACGTAATGGCTTGATACGCAGAGAAATGAATCCTTGCATTAAATAATCGGAATTCGTAGTTCGGATGGCATCTGGCTTTGAGTAAACTGGTTAATGGTTACAGCTAAGCCTTGCTACTTTTGCTACCGATAGTTTATAGCTTTTGTTAGCAATACAAGTAAACATTTTAAGAGATAGTCTATGTTGCATTGCGCTGGGAATTCAGGATTTAGAGTTTAATAAAACTTTGTTTCTCGGCTAGTCATTGTTTAATCAAAACATTCAGTTTAAATATCCTTGCAACATTTTTAATTTTGATAAATTCCAGATGGCGAAACCGATTACGCAGGTAAAGAATAACGTTCGCTTGCTAAATAAACGCGTGTATATGACAAAGAAAAACTGAAAACTAAATAAAAAAAATTTGAATCGTAAGCTGATGTTTATAGTTGGCAGTGGGAGGATCGTAAAAGGGCAAGGCACAGTTGGCAGCTTTACTACAGTAACAATAGTCGGTTGAACTGAGTGCTTCTGCCAGAATTTATTTTTTATCGTGAGTTTGCCTTCAATTATGTAATGCAAAATAATGTATTTGAAAATAATATTTTTTTCTGAACAGAATTGATACTTCTACAAAACACAACACATTGTAAATAATTAGATCTTTGTAACTCCACACAAACTATTGTCTCTTCTGATCTGGAGTCAACATTCTGAGCAAGCTTACAAAAATGTTAGGCTTAATTTATTTGTTAATAATGGCAAAATTGCCTTCATCTTCAGTATAATCCCTTCTCATTGTAATTGCTCCTACAGAATATTATATGGTACTGAAATGACGAAGGTTTTAAGTAAAACTCGAATATCGTCGACAGTTTTAGCTTTTGGCTTGAGAATTTGTTCTCTGGTTGGGGTACAATTTTCTCCAAATCCTAAACACTGACGCGGAAAATCGCAAATAATATGCCGTTACTCTTAACATAGTGAAACCACTGGGGTGGCATAAAGTGTCCCTACATATCGCAACTTTCACACATTCTGCCTTCTTGATTATTTAACGACGCCCTTCTCAAATGCAAAGGTTATGATGTAAACGATGAATTTGAAGGAATTTGGAAGAGTGCGGCTGTGACCGATTTTAATACGATATCATTTTCTCTGAGGGACTGGAGAAAACCATGAAAATGTTCAGCATCGAACTATATAACTGCATAATACGAGGGTCGCTCATTAAGTAATGCCCCACATTTTTTTCCTCAGAACATATTTATTCAAGATGGCTCAAATTTAGTGACAATATAAATCAATGTTTCCTTTACACATACTATTTTTCCACATAGTCCCCATCAACTTGTACGGTTTTACGCCAGCGTGGAACAAGGGCATGCATGCCTTGCCGGTACCAGCTCTTGTCCTGTGCACGTAGCCATGTCCTCACTGCTTGAATCACGCTCTCGTCATCTTCAAATCTTGTTCCGCGGATAGCATCTTTAAGGGGCCCAAAGAGATGGAGTCGGAGGGTGGATGGGGCAGCACCGTCCAACCCAATTTGGTGATTTCTTCCCGGGTTCTCAGACTTGTGTGAGGGCGTGCATTGTCGTGCAGGAGCAAAATTTCTGCTGGATGCTTGTGAGGCCGAACTCGTCGAAAACGCTTCTTGAGGGTTTTCAGGGTCCTGATGTACGCGTCTGAATTGATGGTCGCACCTCTTGGCATCACATCCACAAGAATGACCCCATCACTGTCCCAAAAGACAGTCATCATGACTTTTCCGGCGGAGGGAGTTGTCTTGAATTTCTTCTTTCTCGGTGATTGAGGATGATGCCACTCCATTGACTGCCTTTTTGTCTCTGGCTCAAAGTGGTGTATCCAGGTTTCGTCACCTGTAATGATCCGGGACAGAAAGACCTCTCCCTCAGCATCAAAACGCTCCAACAATTCAGAAGAAATCGTTTTCCTTTGAATCCTGTGGTCTGCTGTGAGACTTCGTGGAACCCATCTTGCGCACACCTTCGAATATGCAAGAGCCCGGATAATTGCAATCACACTTCCATTGCTGACTGAAAGCTGTTGGGCCAATTGTCGAGTTGTGATGCGCCGATCCTCACGAATAATGGCATCCGCGCGGTTCAACATGTCTGGAGTGGTGGCTGTGGCAGGACGCCCAGAGCGCGGCAGATCACGGAGCTCGGTTTCTTCACTTCCTGAAGCTTTAACTCTCTTAGCCCAGCGACCAACGGTGCTCCTATCGACTGCACAGCTTCCATACACAGCACACAAACGTTTATGAATGTTCACCACCGTTTCTTTTTCAGCAACAAGGAATTCAATTACAGCTCGTTGCTTGTAACGAGAGTCGTTCACAGACGCCATTTTAACAGTTCACTACAGCTCCGCTATCGGTTGGAATCATTTGAAACTCCGTACACGAACGCGGGAAACATCAAATCTCAAGCATGTAAAAGTACACTTTTCTATCTTCAGTATTGGCTGAGAAAAAAAATGTGGGGCATTACTTAATGAGCGACCCTCGTAAAAAATGTCACAATTTTTAATTGTATTCGGGAGAGGCCTCTTTTCTAACCGCGGTCATCTAAACGGCTATTCTGAAGATTTCCCTCCGGGTGAAGATCGAGATAGTAGGCCTACTTCGAAATGAACCAAGGCAGATTATTTTACGTTTCCAATCATCTGCTTTCATTTGGCAATGACTGTTGATACGATATTGTTAAATAATCTCCGAAAAATGTGAGCATCTTAAGCAATTATACATTCTATGACCATTTCAACAACTAAAAAAATATACCCAAACAAAACGAAAGTGAACACTCTACAACATTCATCAATAAATGTGTTTTGATTCAAAATTAAATATAGTATTTGAGATTTCCAGGGCAGCGAGTTCGAAGATATCTGCCTTCTGGGTTGTAGTATGGTAGAAGTTAACTGAGGTTTCAACAGTGCTTGCTGTCTCCATCATCAGGGCGATCATCGCCCTGATTATCCAGAAAACATCCATATTCAAAATTAAATATAATGGGAATGGGAATGAGATATGGAATAGCAGATAACAATAGCACCTATCTCAATGAGAGTCATTTGGAAAAAGGCCAAGTAGGAGACGGAAAAACTCAGAGCAGGAAAGGAATTTATAATCTGATAGGAGAAAAGGAGATTGGAATGATAGTAAAGATGAGAACGGGGAACCGATAATAATAGACAAACCCAAAGAAAAGCAGAAACAACATTCAGCATTGAAGAAAAATGAAAAATGTCCGGGTCTGCCCACCAGTCCACACGGTGCACAAACCAGAACAACAACATAGACATGCATAAACGTGTTCAGAAGTATGCAAAAAAACACAGTAGATTCCCGATTATGCGACGTAAAAGGGACCGAAGAACGGTCGGAAAACCGAAAATTTCAGATAATACGGGAGGCTAATGAAAATGACGAGGATAAATTGAACGTTCCGATACGTCGAATAAACGGAATGTAGGATAATCTGGACTCTACTGTATTTCGAACCTTCATTACCTACAAGGCGAAGTAATATTAAATGTAAAGGTTACTTAGCATCGAATGAGAGAAGATGATCAATGTATAAAATTAAATGGAAATTGTGAGGAATAGTTTATCGATAAAGATACTATGCCAGAATTCACTTTGAGACAATTTCAACAACCGAAACCAGACAGCATGGGGGAGGTATTGGTTGGGAGGCCTGAAGAGAGGCAACAGCTGGGAAGACCTAGGCGTAGGTGGGAGGATAACGTTAAACTGGAACTTAGTAAAGTAAACCAGACCCTCTACACTCCGTGTAGGCCATTTGGGAAAACAGAAGGTATAGATCCTACTCATTGTCGACCTCGGCACTACATGTGGGTGAGTGGTCAGCATCACGACCCTGCCGTGCTTTACCCCCGGGAAAGGACCTCGGTACCCACTGGATAGGAGGCTGAGTGGACCCCAGAGCCGGTCTTGACGCAGGGGCTAAAGGAACAATCCTCTGCCCCCATCGTGGATCGAACCCCAGTCGTCCAGTCCTTAGGGAGTTAGGAATCGATGGAGCGAAATGGATACAGCTGACTCAGGATAGAGTCGGGTGAGGGTATTTTGTGAACACAGTGATGAACCTTTGGGTTCCATGAAGAAAGTGGACTATTCTTTGACAAGGTGCGTACACGATCGACTTTTCACAGAATTTCCTGCACCGTAGAGTGAGTGAGTGAGTTAAACCAGACACCTTTTGTCTCCACTTCTCATGTCTAATGACGTAGCGCGATTGGAAAAGTATAATCCTTGGAGCATAGTGAATTTCCAAACACGTTCTTTACGCAAAATCACGGTTATTGATGAGCAACCATATGCTTCGGAGGTCACTATTGCACTGTGATCCGAAACATTGTCGTGCAACAACGTATTACAACTATGACCTCGACCATTGTAGCGCAACGAGAGCTTTGTCATTTGCGGTCGTAAATTTAGAAGACAGGATCGGCGAGACATACGAGAGATGAGACATGCGTGTGCGATTTTTCCGGAACTTTGAATAAAAGAGACCACTTGGGAGGAATGAGTGTGGATAGGGAAATACTATATTTGATTGTAGGAATGCTAACCACTTAACTCGATATTCAACAATGACTGTCCTTTCACAGTGAGTAACAGTGATGTAGAAAGCCATAGTCAATATTAATTCTGTACTTAGTATTTTTGAATAATTTATGTAAGATTTTCGTTTCTTATATGTTAACCAATAATCGGAATAAAATAAACTTTATTAATTTTTAACAGATGACATAGTTTTATATTCTCCCATTCCACGCGGTCTTGTAATACACATGTTTGTGTATAATCAGTAACCAGTGTATTATTTATTTATGGCAGACACATTTCAGGGCATGGCCGATCATCAGCGTCGGATATACAGTCGTTAAGATCGATTCAACAAACATAAAAAAATATATTTGTCAAACTGTTCGTCAATAACATTCATGTGTTATCAGTTACGTAAAATAAATGGTAAAATGAGATGAAAATTTATCAACCACTGTGCCGCGAATATCAAAATAATTATATAATTAAATATGCAAATTATTCAAATCAAATAATTGTTAATAGAGTAATATCTATGTTTGGGGCCCAGTTCGTATAGAAGCTGTGATGAGTGTACTGTCCTTTGTTGGAAAAAATTTCAGCTGAAAAAAGAATTTTTACAATCAATGCTTCTATAAATGGATATATTTGTTACAAGAAAACGTGATAATGAAAATTTTCTTCAAAATATGCGTGCTCTGATTATAGATATTAGTTCCTTGGTGTATCGCAGAAAAAAAAGTTATTTTCCAAGTGTGCCGCTAGCACCAAAATGTTGAGAGCCACTGAGCTAACGCTTTCGATGCAATGTGGGTCACAGGCCTGTCTAACTGTCCTGCGCTTACCGTCTTGCCTGGTGAAAACCATATCCTGTGATATATTCACGGTCGAAAGCTTCAAACGTCCTTCCACGTAGCAACATTCTGCATGTGAATGAAGTGCCTACACCCTCCCTCTACGTCGACCTAGCGCAGTACGCGGATGACATCTGTCGTAACCGCGTCTCAGTTATTTGGAGAGTTATCTCGTTAGAACTGGCTACGGGATTGGAGGATTGCTTTTCTTTGTAAAGAACACTGCGCGCGTGGCTCCCTTCTTAACGGAGGTAGTGGTCTGTCCGTCACAAACGGTGTGCTGCTCTACACGCAATTCCTCCATTCTGTGATTATGTATATCCGTCTGGAGGTTCGCTGCCACGTCCTTAAGCTGCAAGTGCTACAATCCAAGTGTCTTCACATTGCGACTAAAGCGCGTTTTTCATTAGTGACAAGTAAATTCAGTAAGCAGAAGTAACTCAGTCAGTATAGTGACTGGCTACGGAATGGACGACCGGGGTTCGAACCCTGACGGAGGCAAAGGATTTGCCCTCTAGCCTCTGCGTCCAGGCCGATTCTGGGGCCCTTTCCCGGGAGTAAAGCGCAGACAGGGTGTGATGCTAACCACTCTCTGCCAATTAACATAATAAGCACACCAGAAACGGATATATCCCATTCATTTCTGGTCCCTCTGTTTTCTGTTGGGCCTCCTGATGGCATATTCTAAAGCAAAGTTGAAAAGCAATGGTGATACAGCATCTCTTTGCTTCAGCCTGTGTTGAATATGAAATGCATCAGGCAAATGTTTGTGTGCAAACTTTATTTAAACACATTTTAATTGGCCTAACTAGTTTCAGTGGCACACTAAATTCAGTGAGAATGTTTAGTAATACTTACTTCCTAGCTGAATCATAGACTTTCTTTAAATCTATAAACAGCTGGTGCACAATCCCATTGTGCTCCCATATTTTCTCAAATGCAGAGTATCTTATCAGTAGTTGATTGATTACATCAAAATCTACAATGATGATCCACAATAATTTTGTCAATGTACGGATTTAACCTTGACAGAAGAATGTTGGTAAAAATTTTGTATGCAGGTCGTAAGTGTTATTCCTTAACAATTGCTAGTTAGTTTTATCACCATTAATATAAATAGGTAAAATAATATATTCCTCTCACTTCTCTGGTAAGTCTTATTCAAATAAAACTGTGGTAATCTCAATAAGTTAGTGTACCTCAGAATGTACAATGGGTACCGGGGTCCTTTCCTGGGGGTAAAGCCAGCCGGGGCGTGATGCTGACCACTAACCCCCATCTAGTGCCAGGGTCAAGGAAGAGAGGAGCTATACCTCCACTCGCCCCAAGCACCTGTATGGCACTTAGCGGGACAAACTTTACTTTACTTTACTTTACCTCAGAATGTAATGTGTTACATCTTGCTTGGATCAAATCTACTAGAATTTTATAAAAACCTGATCATTTATGCCTTTTCAACACTCAAACAAACTAGGCTCAAGTATTGATGGCTTAGCTGTATTTCCATAACAACTTAAATACTCAAAAGATAAAGCTCTATAAAAAAAGGAAAAATCGTGGATATCTAACTGTAGACCAATTTCATCACTTAGAGCTTTAAATTTTTTGAGAAAGCAATGTATGAGAGAGTGATTTCCTAAACTCAAACAACGTTCTTGCAAGTGAACAATTTGGATTTAAGAAAAGGCTCTCAACTGATAAAACCCTTTTCAATTATACAGAACTTAAGTCATTTTCTAAAGCATTTTATTGTGTGAATCATGAATTATTACTGCCAAAACTACGTTTTTACAGAATATGAAATATAGCTGGTTAGTGGTTTCAAGACAGAAGGCAATAAGGAGAAACATCATCATATTCAAATAATAGCACCTACTGAAATTGGGGCATTGTAAAACATGGAGTTCCTCAAGGTTCAATACTTGATCTTCTGCTTTTCCTCATATCCGTGATTTATTGCCAAACATTAACTCTCAGTCTAAACCCATAATTTTTGCGGATAATATTTCACAAACAGAAATTGAATGTTCCTAAATTTTGATGAACAATGTCTTTGGTAGCTTGAACAAATGGTTTAAAGCCAATAAACTAACATCAAAATTTTGACAAAACAATTATCATACAATTTTGTACTACCAACAAAAATTGTGTTATCTGGGTATAGGGTATGAGGATAGAACAATTAAACAAGAAAGAGGATTAATTACAATGGTGAATTGCCGTACTTTGTGGTCCATTAGGAAACAGTGTATAAAAATATTTTAATGCAGAATGTTTGATTGTGAAATGGCTTTATTTTAAATCCTTACCGATTCCAGTAATAATTAATAAATTGGGATAGCAACATTATTTTAAAATCCTTGCAGTTAGGAAAAAAAACCCACACTACAAAAGGCATATCCGTTACATGTCACTTTAAATGGCAATCCCAGCTCCAATTAAACAAGCTTAAGATAAACTGGACACATGCTTGTTAACTTTTTACCAACATTAGGTAAATGAACTTGTAAGCAAAGGGCAACAAACAAAACTAAAATTGATGTGTACCCTGTTTTGAACTGCTACAAAGACATCCTATGTTAACCATTGCGAGAATCAATGAATAATATCCAAGAAGCTTATGTAAATGTATACAAGACAGTTCTTGCTCAGATTTACACATCCTGAAAATTCACTTCCTAATATTATGTTAAAAGACACATATAATTTCATATTAGACATTGTACCTTGTTATATGTAGTTTAACTTTCACAGCCATGTGCAATTGAAAGTGCCTAACATTAACTGGGGTCAAGAAATGTAGTTTAAGTAAAGACGCTAACTGTAGCTGACCACAGGAATATCTTTACTCTACTAAAACAGGGTACTTGTTCATAGAAAGCTAGAAAATTATAAGAGTAATGTTAGCATCAGTATATAAAGTACACTTCTAACCCTCATGTGGCACAGCACCCTGATGTAGCTATGTAACTGTCTTGAAGGTTAAACGAAGTTGTAAAAGCACCATGCGTTCACAGCTTTAACCTGGTGCTGACGAGGAATACGATCAATTGCCGCTTCCTTGTGTATAGTTATTGTAATCACACGAGGACATGGCATTCTGAACATATGGTGAATGGAAGGGTTTTAACATGACATTCACTGAACTTGGATGCAGCTTCTTTCAAAACAACTCACTCAAAACATTATTCATTTGTATGTTCATATACCATATATTGGCAATACGTCCATCACAACTATTAATCCGCAACAACGACGATGCCTTTTGTATTCACTTGGTGTTATGATTGGTGCTCATTCTTCAAGCCGTGTCGTGGATACCCAGGCGAAAGATGTCATGTTGGCAAAAGAAGGAATTGCCCAGCGGTTTGAGCACAAACACCTGCGAATATGCATGTGGGGGATCCTCATCAGCCTGCAACGAACACAAAACATATGACTCAAAATTAATTCAGTGTACTTGGAAACACATTATGCATTAAAATTCGAGGTTGTCATGCCAGTGAAGATGTTGATGTTAATCTTCTGGGTTGTAACACTGTGCAAACTTGTAGATACCAACACTTTATCCCTAAATATAGAGGCAGGATGTTCCTCCAAAACACTGGCATGTACCTACAAGTCCACACTATGTTACAACCCAGAAAACCAACATCAACACATTAACTTCACTGTTTCAAACAAAACAGAGTATTATGTCAAAAATATATCAATCGTCTATACTCCACTGGATAGGAAGCTGAATGGCTATCCTGTCGAATATGAAACCCACCATAGGCAGTCATTTACTGGCTGAACTCTTAAAGCTTTATATGTACTGAGCATAAATAATAATAATAATAATAAAACCTCAAACATATTTTGAACACTATCAGACATAGGGACACTGCATTTTCCTCATCTATGCACTACGGTATCAGTGCTCTGCTTTAACTGCAAATATGTAGGATTTGAGGTTTTCACGGCAGTGAGTCTGAAGATGGCTGTCTTCTAGGTTGTTGTGCCGTTTAGTCTGGTAGAAGTTTACTGATGTTTCAAATTTCCTTGTTGCCTCCATCATCGCAGCAAGGACATCTGAAACGTCAGTATACTTCTACCATGCTACATGGTGCAACAAACCAGAAGACAGCCATCTTCAACTGCAAATATGTTCTCACAAAAGCAAATGATAAAGCTGTGAAAATCAGCAATGAAAATACAACAAAACTGAAACAAAACATGTTAGAAGAAGCACGCTTGAGAAAAATGGATAAACAAAAGTCATGCAGACCAGCACAGTCAATTAACTGCAAAACATCCCATTTTCAGAAATGATAATTATGAAATGTTAGTATTATTGAATACAGTGAAAAAAGATTATAATAATCTGAAGGCAAAAGTAATACCAGAAGAATTACAAAGACCAATTAAGAATCTGTCTGAAAGACAGGGTGCTTAGTGTGGCCACAGTAACACAGCACATGCCAGAACATAAAATTACTTCTTTCAATGAATCACTTCAAAAAAACTGAGTGTCCATCATGCACATCTGATGGCACCAGAATAGACCGGACTCTACAGTATGAGGTAGCACAGACAGAACTGAATATAAGCCGCAGTGCTAGGAGCCACATAACCAAAAACATTATACCTGTATTATGATAGGCATTGCCTGTAGTATATTTGGTATAAAGAGCATTCTGGGATTGGCTCTATTCAGTCTTCCTAAGACAACTTCCAAATATCATGTATATCAAATACACCTCAGACAATGGAAAATATTAATATCAAACATAATATTGGTATAATAAATAACTACTGCAATAAACCTTTAGATAATCATTAACTATACAACAAAGAAAACAAAACACACACAAGACCACAAGATATGAATTTATCTTGCCTGCTGTGAGGTAATGTGTTATGTTGATGAGGCAACAATTTATCTAGACACTGTCGTGTAATGCAAGTCGGAAGAGATCGTGTTGCACGTAAAAACTGGTCCCTATTGGCTTCAGCACAAAGGTCTGGATATAGGCATGTGGCGGATCCTCGTCTGTCTAGAGAACAAGTCATTAAAATTGGCTTGCTTATTCAAGAAATAATCTATATTCTAAATAATACTGTCCTCAAGGCACTTATTAATAATTACAAGAAATTAATCTTTATCATACCTGCAGTCTTCCAAGAACATTTATAAGAACTCCTCCATCAAACATCGGTTGGGAATCCACAGCTGTAATGATTCTGTTTATTTTTTGGAAACTTAGACTCTGAAATGGAAAAAGATAAGAAAAACATTTTAACACATTATTCTCTGACTACCAGTAAGTTTAATGATGTCACAACATTACAAGTTCCTGTTCCGTGTAGATTTCAACATTTAAATGATATAATGAAACTATACATAAGTGGTCAAATGTCAGTTTCTCATCATGGAGGCTTAGGTTTAATCTCAGTATATTTCATGTAGGATTTGTGATGGATAAAGTAGAATCAGGGAGATTTTTTCCAAATATATTTCTGATTTCCCCCATAAATCTTGCTTCACTAGTTTTTCATATTCCAAACATGTGGTGGCCAATAATGTAAAAATACACTACTGTTCATTTACAAGACTTCACTCTACTTTCTGACAGACTAGCCTGCAGGGCTATAGTATTTTCATAAATTGTAAACTTCTGAAAACAGCTGTAATGGTTAAGTAGGACTTGAAGTTCTCACAGCGGTGAGTTCAAAGATGGCCATCTTCTGGGCTGTAGCACTGTGTAGTCTGAATTAATATTGTGTGTCACAAATATATTTGTAAAACAGAAATTCACCAATGAAAATTTATAAAAACATGTATCAAAAGTTCAAAATCATATGTCATATACACAAACACTGTATGAAAATTCTGGATTGTGGCAGATCATGGTCTTGCAAGTAACCATCTACAATACCACATTCAGCATTAAAATTGGTGTTCTTAAGTTGTGAACTATGCAAATATTACACCTACTTGGCACATTGTCACACAAATGTCCAATTTATCGATTACTTACATTTAGTTTCTCCATAATTTTTATAGCCCCTTGTATCTGAAGTCCTTCAAATGTCATGAATGAACTTTCAGCCTGAAAAATAAATGCATTCCTACATTAATCCAGGCACACCAAAGTTACTTCCTCACCAAAGTATAAAATCTGACATAAATTACACAGTATTATATGATAAATAAAATTAGGTAATGGATTGTGGTAATCAGCAAAATAATTAGCCACATTTCTTGTACATAAGGTTGTTGGCAAAAAAGGGTGGTTATCACATGGCACATATCACATACTAAAGATACTTATGCGTACCTACAGACTTCTGGGATAAATGAGCGGAATCTTTTGGTTTCTCTTTTTATTCAAAGTCATGAAATATGTGGGAAGCAACAGACAAGTTATGGGTCCCCATGTCATGGGCAGTGTTCACCTAAATCAGTATTATATACTTTTGTTTCATGGGCAGTCAACCATAAAAATAAGGCATGCTTTAACAAGAGAGAAATGTATGTATGCCACATATATTGAAACATTCATTTGCACATGAAGAATAATACCATCATAATCAATCATAAAAAGTAAGCTGATTCAGCAAAGAATTAGAACTAATGCAAAAATGTATTTTTGTAATTTTACATTAGTATTCATTTTGCCTCATCAATACTGAACATAATTTTGCACTGATACGAAAATTCCAAAAGGTAGGGGGAAGAAACTGCAGATCACCTAATTGCCACATAAGCATTAAAAATATGTACTACTTCAGATTCTAGACCAAGACCTCAGTTATTATAGTTTTGATGCAGTTCTGCTTCTAGCAGCAAATATGAATTTCTTTCAAGTTAATTATCAGATTCAGTTAACCCTTTGAAGTTGAAGCTCTGACTTGCTTTTAGCCCCCTGTACCTATAAGAATATGGGATTTTAAGACCATATAATATAAGGCTACCCGTCAACTTTTAACTCTGGGGTTTAATCGTATGCTGATGTGATGGATGGCCAGCTGTACTGACTGGTGGAAAAGGGTTAATTATGTTAAATTTCCATGTTTCAACATATTAGTTAGTTGTATAAATGCATGTTTTTATTCATTTTATTATGTGTGTGTGTATATTTCTCACTCATTCAACTCCATACAAGAATTTCCCTCAACCAAAAATTCTGAGCTAATTTAAATACACGTAAGTAATAGTGGGTATCATTTCTTGTGCAATTATTTTTGCGGTAATACTGTAGTTGGCTGTAAATTAGTACCTCAGCTATGTAATTTATATTCATATTAGAAACAACTATTGTATTTGTGCTGTGACATGTTCTACATCCTTGGCTAGGGCCTATGAAGGATCTATGAAATGTAAATAAATTCAGTTCTCTATTCAGAAAACAACTTGAGTTTAAAACTGCATGAATTATGTGGTGTTAACAACTTCTCAGAAATGTAAATCAATATCAATGTGTACTAAGGTATGTTAGATCTAATGTAAAATACTAGACTTGTATACATGGGGTCACAGGATTAAAGCCTACTCAGATGAATTTGTGATTTCATTCCCCCACCATGTTGTTATTTTACATTTTTAAAGAATTATTACACCAAATTTTTGTATTTTTTCAAAAATTTACGACCATATATCACTGTATGGCCCTAACCCACGTGGCACTAGTGTTGATACCACCTCACAAGTTTGACCACCACTTTAGATAATTGAAAAGTATGAATTTTTGGTACTCCCCAATTGTATAATATCCACACCAAATTTCATCCAAATCTAAAATCTGTCCAGTGGTCCTTGAGGAGAATCACATGGACAGACATGACCACCCCTGTATGCATTGATTTCATGCACATCATACAAGGAACACATAATAAAAACTACACAAATATCACCCCTAGACTCAATCTGTTGATTCACTGTCTAGGAAACAAATTGTAACCCATTTAAGTCAGCTCATTATTGAGGCAATCATCTTATTACATCATCATGTTTTTTAGATAAAAAAGGAAACTAATACCTTTCTTGTCCCCACACCCCAGAGGGCTGGTTGAGATGTATATAACTGAAATGTTTCTCAAAATGAAATTTTCTGCCACACACAGAGCACCAGACACAATTGAATTACAAGAGCTCATAAATTTACGAGTGAGATACGATTTATTCTGCATCATTCGTTACTTGCCATCTAATGCATATACAGTCACTTTTCACATTTGAAAGGCACATAAGCTATGTGTTATTAATTTCCTACCCCAAGCAAGTTTTATTGGTTACGGTTGGTACATGTTCGTTCTAGAATGCAGCTAGTCTTAAGTCACCAAGACAAATAATAATATGGTAATTGTTAATAATATTCGTGCATTTTACCAAAACACTGTGTCTTCACTTACATTATACATGTTTATTAAATTTGGTCGCTGAGTAGGATCGTCAAAGATTGCATAGTATTGCTGAACAAAGCCTTTTCCAATGGCTTCATATGCTGGATTTAGAGTCATTCTATAATCTGATTGTTTTCTTTTGCCGTAGAACTAATCTCTTGTGTAAAAAGACACCCTCAATAATTTCCCTTCCGAGGAGGCCTGTTAAATGTATTTGTTACAAACACAGCAGTTATAACCAAACTAGCACAAACGCGTGCGCCATTAGATGGCAGCATAAGCAAACGAAAACTCGAATTTTGATCTACCGTGATCGAGATACTCTCATTCTACCAACAATAACTGACTGAAAGGAGCACAGTGGGCATATAAAATTTCCTTGAAATAGTTGTTTAGCGACCTTGTTGTTTCGCAGCAGTCAGTAGTATAAAATATTTACAGAGGAAGATAAGTACAGGGTTATATGTTGTTACGAAACTACTTCTGTGATTGCATTTTGTTTATAATTTGATTTCGTTCACTTCGTATTTTCTTATTCTGTATTTAGCCACCGAACACTTCATGAAGCTATTAAGTGGTATTTTCTGTGCTAGTAGATTATCCTTGGTAATATCACACCACAGAATACACCAACATCGGAGTGTGAAGAGAAACTGTGATTTCAAAATTCAGCATGTATTGGCCTTTCATTTCCATTCTTCGTAAATCCGCTAAGTAGATCAGTTACAACAGCCTTTTCTCGTTCTTTTTTATTGTCGGCTGTTGATTGTCATAGATATATTGAATGTGGCGCATGTAATAACTTTATTTGTTGTTCAGTTAAGGAAATGCCCTTTTGAATGCATTGTTCTTTTCTTTATATGGTGTTGCTTTATGTGCAACTGCATTGACAATAAAAATATTGTTTGCTACAGACATGATGTCTTAAGTCTACATACATAATGGTGATCTGCAAATTTTATCAACAAGGTTTTTGCAAATATGGCAGTAGCTGCAGATTTGAACACCCACATTCTGGAGAGAGTGTATTAAGAAGAAGATATGGGGATAATCAGTATACAACAAATAATTATTTTCATGGTCATGGTAGGAATCCAGGATCATACAAAGCCGAAAACATATCACATGATTTAGAAGCCATGCAAATGGTCTTCCAAGAAGTGATTGAAAGTGAGAAGGGGGGACAGTGGCCATTGTCATGCTTTGCACCTATCGGGGAGAGACCATGTTTCCCAGGGTGTGAGGACTATTCTCCAGAAGAGATTCGCTGGAAGATGTATGAGGCTAAGCAGAATGACACACTTCCTGAATGCCAGAGGCAGATTAAAGAATTGTATGACGCAGCCAAACTTCGAAGACATCAGATACTGAATCAAAAGAATGAGGTATTTACAATAATCAAGAAGCTTTATCATGGAGAAAAGATTGAGACAGAACCAAGCTTTTCATTTTTACAAGCTGTAAATCAAGTTAGAGACAATAACGTTGCATCATGGACTTCGTCAAATTTTGGGAATAGCGAGAATCAAGCTCCTGTTTCCAGCAACTTTGTATTTTCCCTTCCACAATTAGGAGGTTCATCTGGACAGACCGCAGTTTACCATCAGTCAAATGGGTTTTATGGTAATGTACAAGTTCCTAATGGTAGCACACAGACTTCCAGTGTATTTAACAGTTCATCTGATGTACATTCACCTTTTGGTACTGTCACTCAAGATTCTTCAAGACTTCAATCAGCAGTGTCTTCAAATAGTGTATTTGGTGGAAGTAAAAGCATTTTAAATACTGCTGCTACTTGGAATAGAGTGGAAAATACTGTTGAAGACAGTTCTTTGTATTCACAAAAAGCTGAATTATCCCAAGACAAATTGGATGCATTTGTTGCTCAGACATTTACGATGGGAAAGGTACCAAGAAAACCACCGCCTAAAGATCTGTGTACACTCTAGAAGTTTTTTGAATTTTGAAACTTTGATTATACAGGCTGCCTTTGTGTTGTTAACTCTTACAGGAGTCATTTTATAATTTTGTAGAAAGTAAAAGTAGGATTAATTATCTAGCTAAACTGTGGAGGAAAACCCTTCTTGAGAAACTGACAGTGAAGAAATTTGTGGCCTTTTATGGAAACCAAAGGTTTATTACTAAGTTCATGACAGCCAGTTGTTGGTTCTTAACCTGAGCTAGATAACTGCAGTCCACATCCATCTTATTTTCCTATAAAAAGGATGTTACTGTACAGTACACTGCAGTATTTTGTTAAAGCAGTTGGCAGTACTGTGCATAATGGCATATAACAGTCTGCTTGTTATTGTGAAATTTATGACATATTTCATTATTAAACAACATTAGTTTCACATTGAAGTTACTATATAATGGTTCATTAAAACCCCTATTTCTGGCCAATCTTATCTTACTTTCAAACTACCATCATATCATTAGCATTTTCAAATTCATAGAACATGGGAGTTTCTTAACCACCTGAGTATCAAGGAAGACTGTATATCATGTATGTAGTTATAATGATGCAGCAGGATAAACATTTTTAAAGAAAGTATAACTAATGTGGTACTTAATATTTAACAAAAGGACAGTATACTTTGCAGTCAGAGGCTGCAGATAACAGTTGCTGAGAATACATTTGTGGTTTCTTCCTTTATTATGTTATTATTTTTCTTTTTGTGAGAGCCTGGGTAGCTGTCAGTATAAGGACTTGCTATAGACTGAATGACCGGGGTTCAATCCCCGGCAGGGGTAAAGGATTTTTCCTCCAGCCTCTGCATCCAGACTCTCTGGGTCCTACCCAGCCTCCTATCCAATGGTTACCAGGGTCCTTTCCCAGGGGTAAAGTGCAGCCGAGTCATGACACTGACCCCTCACCTCCATCTAGCTGATTTTAAAAATGAGTAGATGCTATACGAGGTTCGATCGGAAAGTTTCAAGACTGTGTCAATAGAGGGCGAACCGGATGTAGTACGAGCTTCTGCCGCTAGGGGGTGCGGCCTACATTCATAGTGAATCAGTGTGCCAGCCGGCATCATCGAATTAGCATTTGTTTCTTAGTTACAAGCGTTTTGGTAGTGCATTGCACCGACCCTCCTGCAATTTCGGAATGGCGTGTGCATCAAATGTTGCCAAAGACTCGCCAAAACGGCTACGGAAACCTATGAAATGCTAAAGCAAGCATTTGGGGAGTCCGCAAGGGGTCGTGCACAAACTTTTGTGTGGCATTCACGTTTTAAAAAGGGCCGAACCTCTGTCGATGATGACGAGAGTTCTGGACGACCATCTTCGAGCACAACGCCCGAAAATGTTACCAAGATTCGGCAGGCCATTCACGAAGAGCGACGTCGTACCATCAACGACTTGTGCGACATTGTTGGGATAGGCTATGGGACCTGTCAGCTGATTCTAAAGGAAGAACTCCACATGCGACGCATCCTGTCTGAGGACCAGAAGCAGAATCGACTTCTCGTTTGTCAGGAACTCAAAGATCTTGCAAGAACCGACCCCAACTTCCTTTCTAAGCTCCGTGTGACTTCTCCCTCTTCCCAAAGATGAAAATTCAGCTAAAGGGAAGGAGATTTGAGACGATAGAAGAGATTCAGGCAGAATCGCAGATGGTGCTTGACAGGCTGACAAAGAAAGATTTCCAGGGATGCTTCCAGGCTTGGCAGCGGCGCTGGGATCGTTGTGTTCACTCCCAGGGGAACTACTGCGAGGGTGATGGATGAATTTAATACCTGAGATAAGTGTACGGGTTTTTATACGCGCAGTCTTGAAACTTTCCGATCGCACCTCGTACGTCATCCCCCCCCAAAAAAAAATTCCTTTTTTTCTCTACCTTTTTGTAATGGCCTGTACCAGGTTATATTATAGTCTTGTGTATATGATCAAGATAAGTAGTGGTGTTTGTGCAAGATGAAAGACTGGGACTAATATGAGTTACCTAAATCCTTTATTATCTAAAAGTTTTGGAAAAGACAATTCTATTTTTGATCAATTATGTTCATAGTCTGAAAAATATTTCTTGTGGAGTTGGCATGCCTACACACAAGGAACGCATTGTTATTGTCTTAATGTCTGTAATCTCTATAGTAGTATTTGAACCACAAGAATTTAGATATCAAAAGATAAAGGGTTATTGTTTATGAAGATGAGTTATTTCAACTGGATTACATTCATATCTATAAAGAAGTGTTACAAAGACTTGTTTTTCTTGATTAGCTTGTTACTGTCATGGTATCTTCACGTAATCATGGGTATCAGATGAGAGTATTAAATTTAATATTTATATTAATTTTGTATTGAAACAGCTCCAGATAGTAACTGTAACAAAATGTTAGTATGGTTTTCTTTCAAGTGTTGAAGTTGGATTTGAATACCATACATATTAAGGAAAGGGTTCATTCATTTTTTAGTTTAAGGGGTACTCTTTGGAAATGTTTTGACTTTATTTGTCAGAGTTTTGTGTTGGTCTTGTAATAGTTATGTGACTGATAATGTAGTACTTCAGTTTAATTACATGAGAATGCTGTAAGCCAAATGGAAAGGAATTTTAAGGGATGAGGTAAACATAATTTGTCTCATATATATTTATTTTGTACAGTCTATACACAAACGTTTGAAGTTTATTGGTGTTGTAAAAATTATATAATATTAAAACATTTTGTTGTGTAAAATATTATATTAGCGCTCTTAATCGTAAATACGATTTTACATTATATTTTTTAGCGCTTTTTATTAAAACGACCTGTTTCAATGGGTAATACTGTCGTCTTCAGGTTTTTATCAATTTAAAATATTTTAAAAACTATTAGATATTTAATGCAATATATTATAATGATCCGAACTACGGATCATTATAATATATTGCATTAAATACACCAATAAACTTCAAACGTTTGTGTATAGACTGTACAAAATAAATATATTTAATCAAACACAAACATGACGCATATAAGATACAAAATAATTTGTCTCATCTATAAAAATTTTGAACGAGACACATGCTAAGAAATAAGTTTTTGCCCAAAATTTCTTGATTAATAACGTTTCAAATCTTGGCTGTTCCTCCCAGAACATTCTGTATATTAATATAAATATTGTTGAATTGCCTTTTTATTGTGTTATGTTTTATGTACGTAAAGCAATGTGTGATTTTTGGAATCAGAACAGTATGCGAACAATTTGAGTAATTGGAACATTTTTCTGTTCTGGTACTGTTTCATATGTATTATATTTTATCTTGGTGTTCAGATCCTGGGAATGTAATTTCACTCATTTATTTTACAGAGTTAGAATAAAAATGTTTTTAACATGTATTCTTTTATGCGCCTCCATACCTTTTGAGTTAAAGTGTATTTAAAGAATTTGTATGTGTTAACACTGGAATATTTTGTGTGTGATACCTTATAAAACTAATCAATATACTTTAATACTCGTGTCTCACAGCTGTAGTTTAAAGTTTCTGTGTTTGTTAAAATTACCTCATCTTTTAGTTATTTTAATATAATTTTATTTTGTTTAAGAGAAAATATCACATGTGCCAACATTCCTTTGAGGAATTCACTTTCATGTACAACAGAGAATATTCATTCTTTGTAGCCCACTTACCTTCCAATTAGTATTGAATGTGGCCTGTTACTCAGAATGGTATCTTGCTGAATCTTCTACAAGGTCAGCTACAATGCAGTAGGAATTTGATTGTTTCAACTTCCACAATTAATTTTTCTTCAAAACCTATATTTAATCTAGGATATGTCTTGTGCTTAGTAACAAATCTTATGAAGTTTGTTTTTTCAAAATTTAGTGCCAGTTTGTTAGCTCTAAACCATTTGTTTATGTTGGCAAAGACATCATTCATGATATTTTCAAGATAGATCAAATCTTGGTGTGCAATAATGATACTTGTATCATCAGAGTGTGTCAGTGTTGCTAACATGCAACAGAGATCTAACTGAATAACATGCGCCACTTCACTTAGGTATCAGTTTATCAATATGATTTGTCCAATTTAGGTAATTATAAATTTGCAAACCCAAGAATTTTGTGTTTATTGACTCTTGTATATACTTCCCATTATAACCAATACTTAAAGCACATTGTGGAGAGTTATTTGTTATAAATTTTATTA